GATGCACCAGAGCTCAATTTTGAGTGTCATGGCAAAGGCTGTGAATACTTATGTACATGTTTCTGTTTTTTTTTATTTTTAATAAGTTGCAACGATTTCAAAACAAACTTCTTTCACATTGCCATTATGGGGTATTTTTTGTAGAATGGTGAGGAAAAAAAATTAATTTAATTCATTTTGTAATAAGGCTGTAACATATCAAAATGCGGCAAACGTTAAGAGCTGTGAATACTTTCTGGATGCACTGTAGTCAAAATGATCATTAGATCCACAGGCATAAGTAGTAAGATGTATTTATCTATCAACTTTTTCTGTAGAAGTTGAAATTGTCCCACCTACACAGGCTCCTTGTTGGTCAGTGGGACCAACAAGCACAGGACATACCCTGCTCAACAGTGTATGTAACATTCATTTGCATATGGTTTCATGTGCCTATGTCTTTGGATTTTCGGATTATTTTGATATGTGGGTATCTTTGTAGGTAACGTCTTGAGGATATGTGAAAGGTTTATATTTAGAACGAAAAGAGAAAAATTGTATCTCTAAGGGTATTTATAGTACAGTTAGTAAAGAAAAAAAAAATGAAAGGGTGTAGTCAAGCTTGGTGGAGATATCTAGAAACTCTGTTCCCAAGGTTATTTGTTCTGATCGTGAACAAATTTATTAAAATATATATTTTACAAATAATCATTCAGGAGATCTATAGTCATCATTGAAGACTCAACTTGAACATCATAAAAGTGCAGTTACTATGCTCTTTTTTAACCACTTGCCGACCACAGATAGCCGAATGACGACTTCACCTCAGCCAGCCAGTTCTGGGAGGGCGTCATATGGACACAGCTGATCATGTGATGTGGTAAAAGGCCAAGTACAGCAGCCTTTTACCACGTGATCAGCTGTGTCCAATGACACAGCAGATCACCGGTAAATGCAGTTGCCGGTTATCGGCTGCACTTTCCTCATGCTGTCACAGCATGAGGAAAGTACTGCCGTTAACTGGCAATTGTTAGAGGATGGATCGGCACTGATCATCAGTGCCCTGATGATCAGTGCCACCCACTAGAACCGCCCAGCAGTGCCACCCATCTGTGCCCATCAGTGCCTAGTAGTGCCACCAACCTGTGCCCAGCAGTGCCACCCATCAGTGCCTAGTAGTACCACCCACCAGTGCCCAGCAGTGCCACCCATCAGTGCTGCTCAGCAGTAGTGCCCAGCAGTGCTGCCAGTCAGTGCCACCCATCAGTGCCGTCTATCAGTGCTGCAGTGCCACCCACCTGTGCCCATCAGTGCCTAGTAGCGCCACCAACCTGTGCCCAGCAGTGCCACCCATTAGTGCCTAGTAGTGCCACCCAGCAGTGCCACCCATACGTGCCGCCCAACATCAGTGCTGCTCAGCAGTAGTGCCCAGCAGTGCTGCCAGTCAGTGCTGCCTATCAGTGCCTATCATTGTTGCATATCAGTGCAGAATCATCAGTGCCACCTATCAATGCCTCCTATCAGTGCTGCCTATCCGTGCCACCTCTTCAGTGCCCATCAGTGCCGCCTACCAGTGCAGCCTCATCAACGCACATCAGTGAAGAATAAAAATTACCTGTTTGCAAAATTTTATAATAAAAACAAAGAAAACCTTTTTTTTAAAAAAATGTTGCAATTTTTTTGTTTATAGCGCAACAAATAAAACACCCAGCGGCGAGTAAATACCACCAAAAGAAAGCTCTATTTGTGGGGAAAAAACAATAAAAATGTCATATGGGTACACTGTTGCATGGCTACGCAATTGTCATTCAAAATGTGACAGCACCGAAAGCTGAAAATTGGCCTGGGCAGGAAGGGGGTAGAAGTGCCCTGTAGGCAGGAAGGGGGTAGAAGTGCCCTGTAGGCAGGAAGGGGGTAGAAGTGCCCTGTAGGCAGGAAGGGGGTAGAAGTGCCCTGTAGGCAGGAAGGGGGTAGAAGTGCCCTGTAGGCAGGAAGGGGGTATAGGTGCCCGGTAGGCAGGAAGGGGGTAGAGAAGTGTCCGGGGGTAGGCGAGGGGTTAAAGTGCAGATTTGTAGTAAGGTAACACAATATTCACGTTAACCAGCACATGTTAAACTCACAATATTTGGTGATCTCAATACTGTGAGTCTGCCTTATACACCAGGGCCCTTACCCCATCATGAATAGCTGTTTTCAAGTTAAAAAAAAAAAAAAACTCTGGGGATGATGTAAAAATATTTGGTAACCTTTTACCTAGTTTCCACCATGGGGGATAGGCAAAGTTAATGTCATCGGCCTTTTCACAAGATCCTGAGGGATTCCAAGTACCCCAAATCTTGCAAAAAGATGCTTCTGCACTGTACTGAGACATCTTCGTGCAAAATTTGGCTTACTCAGCATTTTCTGTTTTTTTTTTTTTCGCCAGAAGAATGGTGACCTAACCTCTGCAGGATGGAAGTCTGGGAGAAAGTAAGTATATGTACTAACATTTTCAACTTTACAAATTTTATGATAGGGGAGGAACACTGATATATCAAATGGACTTTACATTTTATTTCAATGTCAGCTTCAATTAGATGGAACTGTCTTGCCTTTTTTTGGAAATACCAAAAATGTAATATTGTTTGGATAATAATGAAGAAGTCAAGTAACCCGTCTGAGCATCTAGCTACCCCAGAAGCACCTTTTACACCTCACAGCTTTATTAGTAATGCTTTATGTGTTGTAATATAATTTGACATGGCTAATAATATACTTACAAACTGCAATCTGACAGCCTAGGAATGAAGGAAACAGTTTGATTCATAAAAATATGCCCAAGGGTTTGGGTCACCAGCTGAGAGCTGAGCTTTGATGGTTAGTGCAAAAAAATGATAAGCTACAGTTGTGGCCAAAATTATTCAACCCCCACTGAAATTGAGTGTTTTGGCCAGTTTGACATTGCTTTTGATCATTCAGTCATCTTGCTTACATTTACATTAAAGAGGCACTTGTAGGTCAGACAAATATAACATAACAGTTATAATGAAATAACCACAAATGTCTTTTCTGTGCTCACAGCATTATCAGTTTTATTCAACCCCCAAGTGACATTCAATCTTAGTACTTAGTACAGCATCCTTTTACAGTTATAACAGCTTTTAAACGTGAAGCATAGCTTGACACAAGTGTCTTGCAGCGATCTACGGGTATCTTCGCCCATTCTTCATGGGCAAAGGCCTCCAGTTCAGTCACATTCTTAGGCTTGCGCACTGCAACTGCTTTCTTTAAGTCCCACCAGAGGTTCTCAATCGGATTTAAGTCTGGTGACTGCGATGGCCACTCCAAAATGTTCCAGCCTTTCCTCTGCAACCATGCTCTAGTGGACTTGGAGGTATGCTGGATCATTGTCCTGTTGAAAGGTCCAACGTCTCCCAAGCCTCAGGTGTGTGACGGACTGCATCACGTTTCCATCCAATATCTCCTGGTACTGAAGAGAATTCATGGTACCTTGCACACGCTGAAGCTTCCCTGTACCTGCAGAAGCAAAACAGCCCCAAAGCATGATTGACCCTCCACCATGCTTCACAGTAGGCAAGGTGTTCTTTTCATCATAGGCCTTGTTCTTCCTCCTCCAAACATAGCGTTGATCCATGGGCCCAAACAGTTCTAATTTTGTTTCATCAGTCCACAGAACACTATCCCACAACTTTTGTGGTTTGTCCACATGGCTTTTGGCATACTGCAGTCGACTCTTCTTATTCTTTGGAGACAGCAAGGGGGTACGCCTGGGAGTTCTGGCACGGAGGCCTTCATTACGCAGTGTGCGTCTTATTGTCTGGGCTGAAACTTCTGTACCCACATCTGACAAATCTTCTTCTCAGTTCCTCAGCAGTCACACGGGGACTTCTCTCCACTCTACGCTTCAGGTAGCGCACAGCAGTCGAAGTCAGCATCTTCTTTTCTGCCACGACCAGGTAGCGTTTCAACAGTGCCCTTTGCCTTGAATTTGCGAATGATGCTTCCTAAGGTGTCTCTTGGTATGTTTAACATCTTTGCAATCTTCTTATAGCCATTGCCCTTCCTGTGAAGAGAAATCACCTCTTCTCTTGTCTTCCTGGACCATTCTCTTGCCTTCACCATGTTTGTAACCACACCAGTAAATGTCTAGAAGGGAGCTGAGTATCACAGTCATTTTAAAGCTGCCTAATTGGTGCTTATTATGCTTGATTGCTGCTCGGTGACATCCACAGGTGTTTTCAATACCTGATGGAAAGCACCTGTATGAACCTCTGTTCTTCAGAGTGGTAGTCTTTAAGGGGTTGAATAATTGTGGCAATGAAGAAACCACATAAGAACCATTTACTACTGTATTACATAAACAATTGATGTCATTTTAGTTGCATTTGGGTAGTTACAACGTCCTTGTAGGATTTGATTCTGAATACAATTCCAAATGTACACTATAGTCCCTAAACCCCTTTACAGCATTGGGGGTTGAATAATTTTGGCCACAACTGTATATAACACATCTGTTAAAGCAAGACTGCTACACATTGCCTCAAATTCTTGTTATATGTTCACTTCAAACATTTCCAATATTTTTGGAATTAGCTGGATGATATAAGCTAATGAGATACATCATTAAATACATTTTTGTATTATGGCATTATCCAAGTTTTATTTAACCGCCTCCTGCCCGCCATATAGTAATATGACAGACGCAAGGTGGTTCTCTCGTTCTGATGTCCTCTCATTCTCACCGCGCATGCGCGGCTCCTGGAGAGCGGCGACTGGCGGTGCGCTGTGTCCCTCGGCCATAGTGGATCACCAATCCACGGAAAGAGCCTAAGATGTCGGCTCGGTCATGTGATCAGCTGTGTCCAATCACAGCTGATCACATGTAAACAGGGAAATGACGGTTATCGGCATTTCTCTCCCCACGAGCTGTCACGCTGACAGAGGAGAGGAGAGCCGGTAATCGGCATTCCTCGGAGGGGACATGTACACAGATCATCAGAGCACTGATGATCAGTGTGCCCTGATGATCTGTGTAACCCCAGCAGCGCCACCTGTCAGTGTCCATCAGTGCCAGCTCTCAGTGCTCATCCATGCCACCTGCCAGTGCCCATCAGTGCCACATTTCAGTGCCCATGTGAGCTGCCTTTCAGTGTCACCCATCAGTGCCAGTCAGTAGCACCTATCAATGCCAGTCAGTGCCACATATCAGTGCCAGTCAGTGCAGCCTATCAGTGTGCATCAGTGCTGCCTATCTGTGCCGCCTAACAGTGCCAGTCAGTGTTGCTTATCACTGCCAGTCAGTGCCGCCTATCAGTGCCATATGAGTGCTGCCTTTCAGTGCCCATCAGTGGTGCCTGTCAATGCCCATCAGTGCCACCTACCAGTGCCTCCTCATCGGTGCCCATCACTGCAGCCTATCAGTGCCCATCACTGCAGCCTCATTAGCGCACATCAGTGAAGGAGAAAAATCACTTATTTACAAAATTTTAAAACAAAAACTAAGAAAAAAACATTTTTTTTCTACATTTTCAGTGGTTTTTGGTTTGTTTAAGAAAAAAAAAAAAAACCCAGAGGTGATTAAATACCACCAAAATAAAGCTCTATCCGTCACAAAAGAATGATAAAAATGTCATATGGGTACAGTGTTGCATGACCGCGCAATTGTCATTCAAAGTGGAGCAGCGCTGAAAGCTGGAAGTTGGCCTGGGCAGGAAGGGGGTATAATTGCCCTGTAGGCTTGTGGGTAAATGGTGTTGCCTCAGAGGGGGGTAGTCTTATATGACAAGTATAGCCCAAAACCTATGTTTTAAATTGAAAATTAGGGGGTCGTCTTATACACCCCGTCGCCTTATACGCCAGCAAATACGGTCCCTTTTTTTTGTTTTTGGTTTAAGAAAAAATAAAAAAACCCAGAGGTGATTAAATACCACCAAAATAAAGCTCTATCCGTCACAAAAGAATGATAAAAATGTCATATGGGTACAGTGTTGCATGACTGTGCAATTGTCATTCAAAGTGGAACAGCGCTGGAAGTTGGCCTGGGCAGGAAGGGGGTATAAGTGGCCTGTAGGCAGGAAGGGGGTAGAAGTGGCCTGTAGGCAGGAAGGGGGTAGAAGTGTCCTGTAGGCAGGAAGGGGGTAGAAGTGTCCTGTAGGCAGGAAGGGGGTAGAAGTGTCCTGTAGGCAGGAAGGGGGTAGAAGTGTCCTGTAGGCAGGAAGGGGGGGGTAGAAGTGCCCTGTAGGCAGGAAGGGGGTAGAAGTGCCCTGTAGGCAGGAAGGGGGTAGAAGTGCCTATAGGCAGGAAGGGGGTAGAAGTGCCCTGTAGGCAGGAAGGGGGTAGAAGTGCCCTGTAGGCAGGAAGGAGGTAGAAGTGCCCGGTGGGCAGGAAGGGGTATAAGTGCCCTGTAGGCAGGAAGGGGGTAGAAGTGTCCTGTAGGCAGGAAGGGGGTAGAAGTGCCCTGTAGGCAGGAGGGGGTATAAGTGCCCTGTAGGCAGGAAGGGGGTAGAAGTGCCCTGTAGGCAGGAAGGGGTATAAGTGCCCTGTAGGCAGGAAGGGGTATAAGTGCCCTGTAGGCAGGAAGGGGGTATAAGTGCCCTGTAGGCAGGAAGGGGGTAGAAGTGCCCTGTAGGCAGGAAGGGGGGTAGAAGTGCCCTGTAGGCAGGAAGGGGGTAGAAGTGCCCTGTAGGCAGGAAGGGGGTAGAAGTGTCCTGTAGGCAGGAAGGGGGTAGAAGTGCCCTGTAGGCAGGAAGGGGGTAGAAGTGGCCTGTAGGCAGGAAGGGGGTAGAAGTGGCCTGTAGGCAGGAAGGGGGTAGAAGTGCCCGGTAGGCAGGAAGGGGGTAGAAGTGCCCTGTAGGCAGGAAGGGGGTAGAAGTGCCCTGTAGGCAGGAAGGGGGTAGAAGTGGCCTGTAGGCAGGAAGGGGGTAGAAGTGCCCGGTAGGCAGGAAGGGGGTAGAAGTGCCCTGTAGGCAGGAAGGGGGTAGAAGCGCCCTGTAGGCAGGAAGGGGGTAGAAGTGCCCTGTAGGCAGGAAGGGGGTAGAAGTGCCCTGTAGGCAGGAAGGGGGTAGAAGCGCCCTGTAGGCAGGAAGGGGGTAGAAGCGTCCTGTAGGCAGGAAGGGGGTAGAAGTGTCCTGTAGGCTAGTGGTTAAAATGAAACTCCAGCTAATATAATTTTCTTGTTTGTGTTTACAATGGTGAAGTTTCACTTAGAATTTCTGCTGCTGTGGTCACTGTTACAAGGACTGACAGAAAGAAAATCACCCAACAGGAACACAGACAGGAAAAAAAGAGCTGATCTTCCCTGCTCTACAGAAAAAATGCTGACCTTCCACTTTGAGAATATTGGATAAATGATCGTTGTCTTTTTTTTTTGCATACTAGTCTCATAATGAAAGTGAAGAGGTTACAAAAATTTTCTTACAACAGCATTAAAATTTTGAAGCAATGTAATGTATTTGCATTGTATTTTTGTATGAAAACTGCACTGGTTTAACAAAAATCGTATGATCTGGTATCGTAAAACAACATTTTTCGTGCCTGTCCCTTTGAGTAATTTTGGACAAACGCTTTGACTAATGATCAGTATTATTGGATGATCGCTTTGAAAGTGGCATTTTTCGTACATTTTCTGATCGTGTATATGGGGCCTAAGTCATATTATTATGAATCTGCAATACGGAAGGTGTTCCTGGTTTTGGAATAGCTGATAAAATGCAGATTAGCAGTCTCCAAAAAACAAAGATTTAGTGGGCTCACTCAACAAAACTAGAGAGCAGAAATTGAAAAAATGATTTTGGAAATGTTGGCATTAGCAACAAATCAGATTTTGGTTTTCGTTATGGTAAAAAAATAAATATTTCTGATTGGCCTCTGTGATAATAATATTTTGTTTTATTTTAGTTTTAATTTAACCACACCTAGACATTTATTCATCTGAGCTGAGTGAATGGCAGCATTTGTCTCCTTTTGGTGGCATTCATAAAACGGGCTGCAGAGAGTAAATGTAAGCAAATGAAAAAATGAATAGGGAGTGAATCTGCAGCCAAGGTGATGTTAGGCAGAAGAGCCATGAAAAACAGGTTTAAATGAATATGTTAGCCAGTTCAGTATGCTTTAAAACATGACAAATGTTACAGAAACCTACATTTTTTTTTGTAAATTAAAAATGTATTCATTTTCCATATAAAATACAGATTTCATCATTACTCTCATATAACATACACAACCATCAGTTTATATCCCTTTCTATCTTTATTCCCATTACCCCCCCCACCCCCTATCTAATACCCCCACCCACCCTGAATCCTACCCCCTCCTAATAATAAAACCACCCACTCTGCATTTCTCCATTACATCCTTTTCTAAGTAAAGGGGACTTTCACATATCCCTCTCTACTGCTTCATATATTTCACCTTGGGCACAAAATCTTCCCACTTTCCCCACCTCCTGTAATATAACCCCATCTTGTCTTCTTGCATATAATACCGTTTCTCCATCCTACATATCTGGTTCACTCTTTCCACCCAATCCTCTTCTCCCGGCACCTCTGAGCTATGCCAAAACTTAGGTATCAGCCCCTTTGCCGCATTCAGATAGTACCATATACCCGAATCCTTGTATTTGTTCACTGATAGCTCTGTACTATGTAATAGACACAACTCTGGGTCCAATCCTATCTTTATCCCAGAGATTATCCCGATTAAATGAACCATTGTCTCCCAAAAACCTTGAATCATTGGGCACTCCCACTATACAGTGGGGCAAAAAAGTATTTAGTCAGCCACCAATTGTGCAAGTTCTCCCACTTAAAAAGATGAGAGAGGCCTGTAATTGGCATCATAGGTAGACCTCAACTATGAGAGACAAAATGAGAAAACAAATCCAGACAATCACATTGGCTGATTTGGAAAGAATTTATTTGCAAATTATGGTGGAAAATAGGTATTTGGTCAATATGAAAAGTTCATGTCAATACTTTGTTATATATCCTTTGTTGGCAATGACAGAGGTCAGACGTTTCCTGTAAGTCTTCACAAGGTTGGCACACACTGTTGCTGGTATGTTGGCCCATCCTCCATGCAGATCTCCTCTAGAGCAGTGATGTTTTGGGGCTGTCGCTGGGCAACACGGACTTTCAACTCCCTCCAAAGGTTTTCTATGGGGTTGAGATCTGGAGACTGGCTAGGCCACTCCAGGACCTTGAAATGCTTCTTACGAAGCCACTCCTTCGTTGCCCGGGCGGTATGTTTGGGATCATTGTCCTGTTGGAAGACTCAGTCATGTTTCATCTTCAATGCCCTTGCTGATGGAAGGAGGTTTGCACTCAAAATCTCACGATACATGGCCCCATTCATTCTGTCCTGTACATGGATCAGTCGTCCTGGTCCCTTTGCAGAGAAACAGCCCCGAAGCATGATTTTGCCACCCCCATGCTTCACAGTAGGTATGGTGTTCTTTGGATTCAACTCAGCATTCTCTCTCCTCCAAACATGACGAGTTGTGTTTCTACCAAACTGTTCTATTTTGGTTTCATCTGACCATATGACATTCTCCCAGTCCTCTTCTGGATCATCCAAATGCTCTCTAGCAAACTTCAGATGGGCCCCGACATGTACTGGCTTAAGCAGGGGGACACGTCTGGCACTGCAGGATCTGAGTCCCTGGCGGCGTAGTGTGTTACTGATGGTAGCCTTTGTTACGTTGGTCCCAGCTCTCTGCAGGTCATTCACTAGGTCCCCCCATGTGGTCCTGGGATTTTTGCTCACCGTTCTTGTAATCTTTTTGACCCCACGTGGTGAGATCTTGCATGGAGCCCCAGATCGAGGGAGATTATCAGTGGTCTTGTATGTCTTCCATATTCTAATTATTGCTCCCACAGTCGATTTGTTCACACCAAGCTGCTTGCCTATTGCAGATTCAGTCTTCCCAGCCTGGTGCAGGTCTACAATTTTGTTTCTGGTGTCCTTCGACAGCTCTTTGGTCTTCACCATAGTGGAGTTTGGAGTGTGACTGAGGTTGTGGACAGGTGTCTTTTATACTGATAACAAGTTCAAACAGGTGCCATTGATACAGGTAATGAGTGCAGGACAGAGGAGCCTCTTAAAGAAGAAGGTACAGGTCTGTGAGAGCCAGAAATCTTGCTTGTTTGTAGGTGACCAAATACTTATTTTCCACCATAATTTGCAAATAAATTCTTTCCAAATCAGCCAATGTGATTGTCTGGATTTTTTTTCTCATTTTGTCTCTCATAGTTGAGGTCTACCTATGATGCCAATTACAGGCCTCTCTCATCTTTTTAAGTGGGAGAACTTGCACAATTGGTGGCTGACTAAATACTTTTTTTCCCCACTGTATGTGATTTAACGTACCTATCTTTCCACACCCCCCCCAACACTCTGGTGTATTCTCCCCACTCATCTTGTATTCAACGTTCGGTACAATGTGCCATCTTGTTAAACAC